GTAGTCGTTTGTAAATATTTTGAAGAGGGTTGCCAACTGCTTGCAATGTCGAATTTAGTTAACTTATTCACAAGTTATATGAAATGTCCAAATAATGATGTCAAACGAAAGAGTGTTAAGAAGATTTTAGTTTGAAGACAAAAAATATTTTTGAGGTATTGTAACAGGGTTAAGTAAGTTAAATGGATTATTAAAATTCGGGTATCAATCGAATGGGGTTTGAAAAATCTATATCTAAATATATAATACGTAAAGGGATTTTTTGTCCAAGTAATCTGAACCGTTCATTTTCACTTTCCGAAAAGAGTTGCCATCTTTTAAAAAATTAAGTTGAAATTATTTATTATCGGCTTTTAAAAATGAGGTATCAAATTAAAAGTCTTGGCTGCAGATGTGCACTGCGGTTTTACTTTTTGCAAAGAGTTGCCACCTTTAAAAAATTTAATTCATACCTTTTCAAAAACTAAATCATTTATTACAAAATAGCTATAATTCAAAATGGGTTTGTTTCTTAACTTAAGTGTTAGAAGGTTGCCACCTGTTTAAAAATCAATTGGCACAACACCGACTTCCTTTGCCCTTTGAATACTACTAGTGCCATTCTTCCCAGAAAAAATCTCAAAACATGTTAATAGGCATGTCTAGAATCTTATCAACCATTTAGTTGTAGAAAAGAAAGCGAGCGAGCTTACCCACTCGAATAGTCTACCAAAAATGATAAAAAGTTAAAGTATATGCACATGAATTTTTCACAACAACTTTGTAGATTTCCTATTCAGGAGAAAAATAAGTTCGCATTTTGGACATTCAAGATATTTTCTTCTAAACTGCATTTTTAAGCAACATATTCGTCTTGTTCGTAAATGGTATACGATTGGCACTTTTTTAAGGGCGTCAAAACTTGTACAGACGAGGCGCAAGGGTGAATAACTAACCACAACACAAAGAAGAATAACAATTCCCACCCGCAACAATAACAAAAACATCATAGTCGTCATGCAGTTACAATGAAACAAACAAGCACAACAAAAAACAAAATTACAAATGTAACAAATCAGTTGCAATAACAACAAAAATAACAATAACAAGAAGGCAACAACAAAAACCATAAACGCTTGTGAGTGGCAACAATAAGCGTAATAATGTTGATAACTGTAACAGTAGTATGACAACGACAAAAATAATAACAACAACAATAGAACGAAGGCAATGGCAACGGCAACGCCAACTGCAATGATGACAACAATGGTAATGACAACAATAGCAAAGTAGTGGCAACATTGCCAGCAAATGTATTGCCACAATTTACTTGCACAAATTTACATAACTGCATATGTACATACATACATACATGCGCCAGTACGAACATACGTACATATGTATGTGTGAATTTTCAGGAAAGCTAGCCAAGCTCAATTCTCTTTGTATGTAGTTGTTACTGCAAGCAGCTTTAGTTGCTTATATAAAATCCGGTTTTTATTATTGTTGCTGTTGCAACTGCTTCCGTTGGCACGCATGCAACACGCATTTGTAAGTCGTTTGCTATTGTTGTTATTGTAGTGTTTTTTTTTTTGTTCATCTGCTTATTGTTACAGAGTGACTTTATCCCTGCGATCATTTGTCGCTTAAAATCATGTTGCATAAGTAATAAGGGCAATGCACACACACACACGCACATTTGCGTGTTGACTTTTACAAAATAACATAAACACAGCAAAACAAATACTTGGAGGTTTTGAGTGTAAGGAAGTAGTTCAACCCTGGTAGGGACAAGCATTAATTTGCTAAAATGTGTTCGTCGCGAAAAGTTTATTTTACAGATATATATATATTTTTGGAAAAATTAGTCTAAACCTGAGATACATACCAAAAGCATGGATATTGGTAAAGGTCTTCTGTATACCGAAGGTAGGCAGAGCCTCTCTTATGAAGCCTAATGATTTTTTATCGATCAGTCTTTCTCCTCTCTTCCTAAAAATCCTAGGAAGTATACTGGACAGCGTTGCCATTTTAGCCGTTTTCCGGCTAGATTTAGCCGGTTTTGATAGCAACTAGCCGGAGAAAATTCGATCTAGCCGGCAGCCGATTTGTTAGCCGGTTTGTAAAAAAAAGTTAGCCGTTTTTAGCCGATTTTACTATTTGCCTAATTTTCAGGTGCAAAAAGTAAACAAGTTGTTCGAAAGCAATAATGCAGACCCAATGAAGATTTTTAATGAACTCAATGTTTTACTTTCGCATCTATGCTCCCTAGTGGTTATTAGCGCGGACACATTTAATCCTATATGCTCCCCGTTGGAACTATACCTTGCTCCATTTACTCAGTTTTATCACAGTTTTGAAGAGTAATTAAAAACAAAAGTAATCACAAACGCTTTTGACCACGAAGCCGAGAAAATAATTCGAGAAAATGGTCGCTATTTTATTATCACTTTAATAAAGAAATTACGCCAACGCCTCCCTACAAATATTGCCACACTAAAAAAAATTTACTTTTTTCGGTTGGAAATGCATTAAGAGTTATTAAACCAAAAGTATTTGTTCAACTACAGCAACAAAAACACAAATATAATGCCGACGAGATAACATCCATAGAGATGCAATGGCAACGGTTAACGTTACATACCTGGAGTAATTTAGACTTAACTGTAAAATTTTGGGCCGAAGTTTATCAATTTCGAAATGCCCTTGGAGAAAACCCTTTTGCTGACCTTTGCAACCTAGTTTTTAGTTTTCTTGTTTTGCCTATAAGTAATGCAGAAGTAGAGCGAATATCTAGTTCAATGAATATAATAAAAACTAAGCAAAGAAATCCAATGTGCGTTAAAACGTTAAACGCTATTTTATATATAAGATACGGTTTAAAACGTGAAGAAAAATGCTGCCATAATTTTACTGTAGATGACGATCTCTTAAAATTAATGAATTCAGGTGATATATACAATAGTGATTCATTTGATGATGAGGAATATACACTCGATATAAATTAATGGTCTTAACTTGTCTTTCGTTTCTTGCGATTTATTTAAATAAAGCATATGGATTTTCACTAAAACATTTTAGCCGTTTTTTGCCCGAGTCTATGTGAAATTTCACTAAAACATTTTAGCCGTTTTTAGCCGCTTTTTTTTGCCAATCTAGCCGGTCGGCCCAAAAAGTTCTGGCAACACTGATACTGGATACAAGATAGAAAAAGATGGATCGCGCACGCCTATTCTGATGGCAAATATGTGGAAGCCGAACCCCACAAAATCGTTTTCGAGAAATCCTTGGCATACAATTCGAATTCGAGCTCTGAATTGGTGTTACTTTGGATGAAGGCAGCCGCATCAAGCTAACGATCCATTCCTTCTACAGCCAGTTTGAAGTACTATATCTATAAGATCATTGAGGCTAACTCTTGATATTGTACTCATAGCGCACGTAATGCTTACACTTATGCTTCTCTACGGCCCATTCTTCATAGAAACCCTGAACTTAAACATGTTCCTACGCAACCAGATTGCATTGATCTCATGTGAGAACAAACAAAACACAAAAGCTTGTTCCCGAATACAGATTTGCACCAAACACATTACTGCACTCGGTTTGCCTGTATCTCCACTTGAATATTCCACGTGTAAATGAGTAAATTTAAAAAACATCCTAATTCTATTGCAATCGAAGTGACATCTGAGCACTGTACGATAGGCTTTTGTCGCACTGCCATAACGGCGTGATCAATGGGTTACAAACCTAACTAAAGTGTACGTCGGTAATGTTGTGCGGATGATCTTTGAGCCTCAAAAACCGTAGCATACTTTTAGGCGTTTTCGTCGGCTAGCAAAACGAAAATAAATTATTAGTGCATTGTCCAAAGTGGGAACACAGATTATTCTTATTGTGCATATTGTTAGTTGTTATTTACCCTAACGGGAAACGCGAACTTGTGAATCAAATTCCTAGTTCCGTACTAGATCTTCAACGCCAAAAACGACCCAGACCGATAGTAAGCACATAGATCCACACCAGTTCAAAATCAGCGTATTGTGGTACTTTTAAAAAACTATTTTATTTCACTTTTTTCATTAGAAATCTATATATAAGGTAACGAATTTAGAACTGGCACGGAACGATAGATTTTAGGGCTAGTTCGGAACTATCGATATATGGGTGGGGGCAGCGGGGGCAATTGACACTTCCTAGGGCATCGCCATGTTAAACTCGCCAGTTGTTTGCATGCAAAAGAGATTTATCGCTAACCAGTACTAGGTCTAAATGTACAAGAAGCGCACCAGTTCAGAACTATAGATTTTCCCCACAGGGTAAATATTTTATTTGCACACTTTTCTAGGCTCTATATTTCACCGTGCGACAAAAAGCAAAAACAATTTAAAACACATGAAGATATTCTGTGGAATTTAGAAAAATTAAAATGTTTGGGATTGCAAGGTCGAATGTCGAATATGTATTGAAAAGAAGTGTATATATTAGACTTTAACATGTAATATTTTCAAAAATAAATATTTCAAACTATCAAAGATGTTAAATAATACAAATTTTAAGAGCACATTTACAATAATTTTCCGTCCTTGTGCACAAAAACTTTATCCTTTTCAATTCTGCAGAATTTTCTCATGTATGTAATACCCACATGGGGTTATTCAAATTTATTTATTATTTTTTTTAATATTTTGAATTTTCAATTTTAAATTAATCCATTAATAATTATATCTTTGAAATTTCAGAGTTCTTTAAAATAGATCCCGAGGTCTGAGAGAAAACCCAAAAATAAGCCCCTACTATCTGGAGTATATTGATTTTTATATAAATCAAACCTATACACGCGGTTGAACCACCCTTTATTTTATAAAAATTTCTGAATGAAAAACATATGCATCTACTAGGCATTTCACTGATTGCAGAGCAATAAAGAAATTTCCTCTTTTGCATACAAAACGAAGAAAGTGATTTTATTTTCACTGCAGAAAATAACTCAAAACAGTTCGCTAGTGATCGTTGTAGGGAGAGGTAGTCACTGTTTAATATAATTGCAAGTTCGATTCAATAAACAATGGAACTTAGAGCGATTTTAATGTTGAGCGGTTTTCTTATCTTCACTGAGATCGCTGGTTGTAAGTAGCGACAGAGAATTTTATGTTTAGTCATTTTCTTTCAATATAAATATTTATTCGAACGTCTAACTCATAGATGCTATTGACAATGCCTGCCGAACATATGAAGGAACATATGGTGACTGCATTCCTTTGCAGAATTGTGATAGCTTATTTAAAATTGCTTTGAAACCAGATCTACAAGTAGCAGACATATATTTTATTAGAAGACGAAAATGTGGCGTTGCCAATAATATACACTACGTAAGAATTTTAAATCAAAAACTTAAATTTCTTATTTTATATTATAATAATTTTCATAGGTTTGCTGTCTAAAAGAGGAAAATCGAGTAACTCCAAAACCTACTTGTAAGTAAATTTGACTATTTAGGTAGATATTTTTTTTACCCGATGTTTAAGAAGTCTGTACTATGGCACTGAAACCTGTATCAAAATCTAAAAAATTAGAGGATAGAGTATTCTTAAGTGCCGTTTTATCAAGTAACCTGTAGCATTAAAGCTTACTTTATATTTAAAGGTTGCATTAAAATTTATTATTGCATCTTAAGTAAAGCATTTTATTATCAGTTTTAAATTGGTTTACAACCAAGGAACATAGCACATATGTCAAAATCCGATAAAACAAATGCTTAACTTTACATATAGCTGCATTTTTAATCCTACCTTTATATATAACGTGAGCTTTAAAGTTATATATAACGTGAGCTTTAAAGTTGAAGTTACTCTTTCGATTATAGGTACGCGTCTCCTCCTCACACTCGCTTAAAGCAAAATTTCCCACTTTATATAAAATTCATAAAAATTAAAAAAATATCATCAAAATTTCAAACTTTTTACTCAAAATCTTAAAAAAAAAATCGAGTACGCAGTTTTGTAGCCCATCCATTGTTAGTAAAGCAAAGAGCAACTCTTAAAATTACCGTTGATTATCTAGAATTTTTTTCTTTGCGCATTTTCTTTCGTATAAAACTAGATTTTGATCTGACTGTATGTATGTAGGTAGGTATGTATGGAGTTTCGTCCTAAACCGATCATAACTAAATTTGGCACACCTACTGCAGGCATCCCAAGAACAGTCATAGGCTAAGAATGGTTTTGGCATATCTAGGTGCGTGGCACTGGCTATACAGATACGATTTTCATGACGTAAAAATGCCTTAGAAAGTATTTGTTTGAGAGCATTGGAGCTTGATTTGGATATTTCACCGCCCTGCATACCAGTTTTTTTACCCACCACAACTAATTGAAGTTCTGACTTTCTTCTTTGGAACGAACTGTTTACTTTAATATGGCGATGCCCTAGGAAGCAGTCAATTATCCGACTCTGCATTTGATTTCAACTACTTTAAAATGCATTTGGCTTAAAACGCTTCAAAGTCGGTATGTTTCGTTTAAATACGCTTTCGTTTTGCACTTCACAGATGCTTTTTCATAGATCGGATACACAAAACGAAATTTTTTATAATCACTTTAACATGATGCCCCTCACTAGATTCGAACCCGGACCTTCTGGAAGCTAACAAGTAACAGCAGGCATATCTGCACGCTCAGCTAAAGCCAGACATGTAAATATGCTTTCGAATGTTCGGTTTGAGTTGTGTGCAAGCAGCAAGTCAATTGTATGACTCCGTATTTGATTTTGACTACTTTAAAATGCATTAAAGTAGTCAAAATTAGCGTTGGAAATATTAAAAACCGACCGTAGAGTATCCCGGAAAATTTACGTTCACGCGGCGTCTCCCTGAAACCATTTTAAGCTAAACTTAGATGGATTGGTATCTCTCATATTATCATAACTAAGTCTACCGAAATTTTATAATTTCATAATTTATGCCTATAAAATTTATTTAGATAATTTTTTTTTTATGCAAGTGAAAGGGTTTCCTTTTTCTCTCCTGCAACTTGTAGATAGTACCTGCCAGACACCAAACTCTGTTCTTGGATTATGTAAACCTATTAAGGGTTGCAGCGTCTTAATGAATCTGGTGCGGAAATCAACGAGATCATCTAATGAAACAAGCTTTCTGCAAAAGAGTCAATGCGGATATATAAATGGAGAGTTTATGGTAAGCTCATACAATTTTCGCATAAAATAATTTATATCAATTTTAACGTGTAAACATGCATGGCTAAACAAATACTTGATTTAAGGCTTGTTGTCCGGTACATCCAACTGTATCAGAAATCCAGCAGACGGCCACGACAATCGCGACAGGTAAGCAACATCTATCGTTATGGACTATCAAATAAGATGGCTTTGCCTGATAGTCGCCCATCGATGGCTGAGTCGAAGATCGACCTATCTCTGCAGGAAGTTTGAAAACGCCCTATCTCAGAAACCAAACAACAACGCCCTACTCAGAATTTGGTTGAAGAAAGTCCTATTTTAGAATTATATTTAAAAACGCACTTTCTCATCTGGCGATTCAAAAACGTCCTATCTTCAAACATTTTCAATGTATTTTCGTTTGAGATAGGGCGTTCTCCAGCCAAATTCTGAGATCTAAACAAATAAGGAGAGAGGGTGTTTTCAATAAAATTCTAAAATATGGCGTTTTTCAATTAAATTCTGAATTAGGGCGTTCTTGAAAAGTTTTCTGAGATAGGGCGTTTTCGAACTGGCTGTCGTCCAGCTATATTATGTTCAAGATTTCGCACTTTTTTGACTTGTACATACTTTCTTTGTATGTTTTACATTCTCACAAATCTTTTAGTAATTTCCCCACCGCCATTGTGCCAACCACCAAGCAGCACTCCAGGAAAATGCATACCGATTGGAGGTTGTAAATTTTTGCTTGATTTGGTTAGAAAATACAACAGAACACACGAAGAAACTACTTTCTTAATACACAGTAAATGCGGATATGCGAACAGAAATGTTTTGGTGAATGACTCAACTATTAATAATTTGATTTATTTTTAATAACTGACCTATTCTGCCGCCAGGTGTGCTGTCCCCTATCAAAAGCTGATGATAGTTTCGTAGGCATAACAATGGAAGCGGGGAGTATGTCTCCTAATTTTGCAATCATCAATTCTACAGAGGAAGGACCAAATGAAAATGTCAAAGAAAATATCATTGATAAGGTATGTATCGTTTATAACTATTGCAATTTTATTTTTCCGATGTAACTAGTCGTCACCGCAACTCATCACAATTTTAAATCTCTAGCACATTACTTTGGTTAAAAATCGCCGTAGTATTGAAGTCTAATTCATCCTCTTCATTTTTAGCGCTGTAATTGTCTAAGTGATCTGTGTCCAATTGAGCCGTTTGGCATCGAATGGCGCTTGAGGAAGCCGCACTGGTTTTGCGTGGATACCAAATTCACGAATTGCGGCAGATAGGCATATTCTTTTCGTACTGTCGATATCATCCCTTTGTCGATGACGTTGTGTGTTGATCCTTCTCTCGCGAATATTCCTTGCAGACTTGGCGGTTCAGTTCAGAAGGTTGAACCCGAGGTGGTTGGTATAGATGTATCTCTGGGGATTGGTTGAATTCCAATCGGATGGTATAGTGTTGTCGGACGATGGTATATTGACTCCGTCATTATCGATTTGGGCTGAAGATTCATTTTCTCTGCTGACTTCAGTGCTGTAACAGTTTAGCAAATTGCAAAAATGTTCCGTCCATAATGTTATGGGTCACTTGATTCTCGTAGTTGCTCTGGCAGAATTTTTCTTTAGTCTTGAAAGCTCCCGTAAGTCGCCTAATTTTGTGATACAATTTTCGGTCATTCTTTCTATGGGCCAGCATTTCTGGCTCTTCGCAGTCAGGTATTTCGACCACTATCTCTTTTTATCACAGAAAATACTTCCTGCTTTCCTCTTCTATATCGGTATTACATAGCTTGATTTTCGCCGGATCACAACATGACTCTTCAGGAAGGAAGTGTGGATACTTATTCACATACATATGTTAGTTTGTTGAAGAGCACTCTCTGCGAGCAGTGAGGGCAGGTGAATATGCCATAGCCGTAAAAAGATAGTTGCCCTAATCGCTGTTTAGCGTTTAGATCGCACGTACGTCTAGAATACTGAATACGTTCCTTCCGTCTATCACAACATCGTCTACTTCGTTTGCCGTTTTTTGATTTGGAGCCACCTTGAGTTCTTTTATACTGAAACCTAGTGCTATAGGCTACCACGGCCAAGTCGATCAGTATAAATCTGCTGTCGGACGTTTCGTAGTACCGAATTTTCTGAAAGTAGGACTAAATATCACGCCTCTTCCACCCTGAAATCAAAATTGTGAACGTCCAGATATTGCTGATGATTATCTTTAAAACGTTCGCCATCATCGTTACGAAAATAAGGGGGTCTAATCCGAAGCTTTTTCTTATTTTACATTAGGAGTCAATTTTACGGGGCGGGTCTCAAACCCAACGCACAAACAGAAACTGTGTGAATTTTTTATAGTACATGTTTAGTGAACAGAAATCTAGTTAAGTTACATATTTAGTTCAATTTTAGATGAAAAATTCAGTGACTTTCTAACAATATACACTTTTCAGAAAAATTACACCGTTGCACCGGCAAATCCAATGAGCTTACCGTCCCCGCCAGCGTGTGGCAGAGCTAATATTGGAAATCGTATATTTGGTGGTAATGAAACCAGTATCGACGAATATCCCTGGACAGCGCTGCTGCTTTATACCAATAGTAGGCACTGCTAAACTTTACAAAAGAAAAATAAATCTCCAAACTCATTAACTATAACTTTGCAGGCGATGACGACTTAGATTTTCTATGCGGCGGTTCTCTCATTAACACAAATTTCATACTCACCGCAGCGCATTGTATAGCCGAACGTGATCTGCCGAGAGATTGGCATCTCACTGGTGTGCGTTTGGGTGAATGGAATACCAGAACGGAGCAGGACTGTGAATATGACAATAATGGCAATACATTTTGTGCGCCAGCGCATCGAGATATCGATGTGCAGACAACAACAATTCATCCGCAATACAGCAGCGGTTCTAAAGTAAATGATATAGCTTTGTTGCGTTTAGCAGAAAGCGTGGATTATACAGATTTTATAAGCCCCATATGCCTACCTTTGACGGCGAGTCAGCAAGCGGCGAGATATGAAGGTGCCGCAGCGGAAATTGTCGGTTGGGGAGCAACTGAAAGGAGCTCACATAGTGAAATCAAATTAAAAACAATTGTCACAGTTATGACTGCCACTCAGTGTGGTTTAAATAACTTGCGTAGTCGAATTACAATTGGTGATAAGCAAATATGCGCGGCTGGAATTGGTACCGATTCTTGTCATGGTGATTCTGGTGGGCCACTTATGCTACTGGAGACAGAGAATGGCAAAGTGGCTTATCATTTGATTGGTTTGGTTTCGTTTGGCACTGGCAATTGTGGAAAGACGAGGACGCGTGGCATTTATACACGTGTTGGAGCTTATCGGCAGTGGATCGAGGAGACTATTGCGAAATAGTGTTTGAATATATATATTTTTTTATTATTTTGTACAATACTAGTTATCTGCTTCTGTATCTCTTAGTATACTACGGTTTTTTCGTTTTAATAAAATGTATCCGCATTCAGTGCATAAAATTGCTTTGATTACGTAGCAGTACTTTCGATAAAGTGGATGCCTATAGCAAGTAGAGAAAGCGGCGTCAAAGCGGAAGCCCAGACAGCTTTAATTTTTTTGTGGCTCTGAGAAAATTCTGTTGGAATGGGACCATTTTGCCAAAAATGTGAGTCTTTTTGCGAGCTGAGAACTGTAGGAAGGGCTTTAATGCGTAAAAGACGAATAGCTTTTATAAAGCGACCAAACATTTTTCTTCAGTTTTGACATAACTAAAAATTTGTGCACAGGTGTTAAAATGCCAGAAATTTATTGCCGGTTTTCTCATGACAAAAGTTTATGTCTTGTTTTTGTTTTGTAAAATTAAAAAATAACCAAAAATTTATGTCCAGTTTTTAAAATGTCAGAAATTTATGCCCTGCTTTTTCACAACGAAAATTTATGTCTTGTTTTTATTTTGTATTTTATGTAAAATTTTTAAGCCAGAGAAAAATTATGCCCAATTTATAAGCAACAAAAAAAAAATCGTTTTTATAAAGCGATTCAGTTTTGGTATGACCAATTTATGTCTGTTTTTTATGTTCTGTTTTTCTATGACCAAAAATGTATGTCTTGTTTTTAAATAAGCAAAAATTAAGGTCCTCTTTTGCTATGACCATTTTTATGTGACCGAAAATGATGACCAGTTGTTTTATGACCGAAAATTATGTCCAGTTTTAAACGACAAAAAATTATGTTCACTTTTTGAGTTATCAAAAATTAATTTCAGAATTTGCTTTAAGCGCACATCGGAATTTCTCTAAGAAAAAGCCTCTCGATGAAGCTTTCTAATTCTGGCCCGAGGCCGCAAATTATTACATGTACTGCCATAAGGAGTAGAAGAACAATAACAGTGAATAGTTAATTACAAAATTTCTTCTAGAGTTTACAGCTAAACTTCCCAGAAGGTTGCATTAGAACACCGAACTATGTGGCATAAGCAACATGCATTTTTTTTGCATTTTATTTTTAATCTAAATACTGGTATTTTCCTTCAAAGCTAATAAAAAGAAATAAAAAGAAATTTTTCCGGAATTGAGTAGCAATTTGATTAAAAATAAATAATAAATAAATACATACATCTATTTACTTATGGTACATATGTATGTATGTATGCACATTAGGGTACTATAAGCTATTTTTTTATAGGACCCTTGAAAACCTCAAAAAATGCAATGGAAGACCCATTCGAGGTTTTGAGGGGACCTATTGGGTATTGCTATTGGAAGTCTCTTGAGGAGAAACGATGTTTCCGACCCAAAAGTATTGATTTTCAAGAATCCTATACTATTTCTACAAAAAATTCTTTTTCCCATTTAAAGTACATGGAAAACTTTGAGCGCTTTAAGCGACCTCCAAATAGTTTTTGATAAACAAAACAACAACAACAAAATTCCGACTTTACTTTTTTACCACCCTGATGTACATACATACGTGCAAGCTAGCAAAGGGGCTTGGTAATTTCTTCCAATACACTGAATTCAACGATAAGTTGCGCATTATTCATAAATTTCTTTTAATTGATAAGAAATAGTTTTGCGAAATATAAACACAGCGCTTGAAATAGTAAAAAAAATAAAATTAAAAAAGTAAAGTCGCAATCACATAGCAGTTAGATTTCAAAGGCAGCATAGAGTGAACTTAAGGTGGCGGAAGCATAGCGCTAAAATTTCTGTAAAAAAAATGGATAATCTAGCCAGTGTAGGATTAGCATGTTTGTGCTGTCTAAATCTGCTCTTTTTAAGAGTTAATGGCGGTGAGAATAGGAGTCAATGAAAGGACTTCAATAGAAGTGGTTGTGTCTGTGGCAAACAGATTTGCCTTTTTTAGATGATTTTAACTGAAAGAAAAGATAATTATAATTTACATACATATTTTAGATTTTGTGCTATGTGAGACCCCAAATGGCTCAATTGGAAGCTGCAAATTACTTGTTGCCTGCGAGAGTCTTTATAATCTTGCAAAGAATCCGCAAACGGAAGAGGATGTGCATTTCTTACGCAAGAGTCAATGTGGAGTCGCAAATAATAGTCCACTTGTGTGTAAAAATTACTTGAGTGAATTTTTCACAGTTAAAAGCAGTTAAGAATATTTTTTGGTAATTTTCATAATTTTTAGGTTTGCTGTGCAGAAACCCAAAATGAAGTAGCTACCCAACTATGTCAAACACCAAATGGAGAAGAAGGTAATTGTATAGTCATAGAAGAATGTCCGCCTTTGTATAAACTGGCATTGAAGAAGGATATAACGCAAGCAGAAATAGCATTTTTGAGAGGCAGCAAGTGCGGAAATGAAGTCGATAGCAGAAATGTGAGTATTTTAATTTGGCGGAGCAAGAAGTTGATTCATTAGGTAATGGATTTCTTATTTTGAATCTATCCGCAGGTTTGTTGTCCAAAACTGAAGGCATTGGACACTGCGCCAAAACCAAAAGTTCGTGCAATCTTCGATGAAAGTACGTACTGAGATACATATGTACATACAAATCGTCACCTTCAATGTAAAATGTCCTATTAGATCGTTTTCGGAAACACTTTTTTTTAAATATTTTTATCGAAATTAAGAGCCATTCATTATCTAGGTAAATGTAAAAAGTTTTCTTGCTTCTTAGGTACAAATTTAAAATTGTGGTATATGACCTCTGCATTGATGGTGGAAATGCAAATGCAAAATTTTGAAATGCAAAGTTAATTGTAAAGAACTCTAAAATACTTCGAGGGGTTGAAGTATATTTCTTCCCTGATTCCCTTCTAAAAAAGTTGTGTATGTATGTATTTTCAATAGTTTCCGACATTGCAACATGTCAAACACCAGACGGACTAGCAGGCGAGTGTATAGCCATAGATGATTGCAATGCCTTGAGTTACCTTTTTCAAAAAGAGCAATTAACGGCGGCTGAATTGTTATTTGTACGGCGAAGCGAATGTGAAACAGGAGAGTCTCAAGTGAGCTATACTTCTATTTCCTCAATTTTGAATTTATTAAACTGACTTTCCGTTTAATTACTACGCACATATGTATGTAGATTTGCTGTCCGAAGACTACGAGTAAAGATGACGAAGAGCAGAAAATTAAAAAAGGTATGGTTTTTGAAATTTATTTAGCTCCATTTGTTAAAAAGTTTTGTTTTAAAAATAAAACTTTTTTGTTTAAACTAATCAAAATACTGGTTTATTTTGAAAGTGGCATAAGTCACTTCACAATTTGTGTGCTTAAATAACCGGTTACTTGTGTCCGAATTCGTTCGTTATTCGATCAACTTCATCAACTAAAGGTAGATGTTAGTTTATGATACATTCGGTTAAAAGTAGTGAAGTGAACCTTCATAGAAAAAATTCCAGAAAGGAAGAAGTTTGCTAAATAATTATTTACCTGTAACTTTTTTCACATCCGCTTAAGTTTTATTCACTTTTTATACCCGAGCGCACTTGTGCACAAGGGTATTATAACTTTGTTCACATAACGGTTGTTTGTAACAGGCAAAACGAATCGAGATAGATATAGACAAATGTATACATAAATGATCAGAATGAAAAGAGAAATCGATTAAGCGCTGACTGTCTGTCCGTCCGTCCGTCCGTCCGTCCGTCCGTCTGTGCACACGATAACTCGAGTAAAAATTGAGATATCTTAACGAAACTTGGTACGTGAACTTCTTTTGGGCGTGGGACGGATGGTATTGAAAATGGGCGAAATCGGATAATAACCACGCCTACCTCCCATATAACGGTAATTTTAAGAAATACGAAAACTGCGATATTTTAGTAACTACTGAAGATAATTCACTCAAAATTGATACTTACAATGAGTTTCAGACGGAAAACATGAATATTATAAATTTTTGGAAAATGGGCGTAGCCACGCCCACTTATGGTTACATGTGTATATCTTGGTAACCGCTGCACCAATTTCTTCCAAACTTGGCACAGTTGTTGGTCTTAGTACAGCATACTAAATGGCTGAAAAGTTTAAAAATCGGACAATAACCACGCCTACCTCCCATATAACGGTAATTTTCAGAAAAACGAAAACTGCGATATTTTAGTAACTACTGAAGATAATTCACTCAAAATTGATATTTGCAATGAGTTTTAGACGAAAAATAAGAATATTACAAAATTTTGGCAAATGGGCGTAGCCACGCCCACTTATGGTTACATGTGTATATCTTGGTAACCGCTACACCAATTTCTTCCAAACTTGGCACAGTTGTTGGTCCTGGTACAGCATACCAATAACCACGCCCACATCCCATATAACGGTAATTTCGAGAAATACAAAATCTTCGATAAATCAGTAAATATTGAAGCTAATTTATTCAAAATTGATGATTGCAACAATTCTTTACCAAGAAATACGTTTATGACAAAATTTTGGAAAATGGGCGTAGCACCGCCCACTTGTGATCACATATATGTATCTCGCTAACCGTTCTAGCAATTTGTACCAAGCTCGGTATGGTTATTGTGCTTGCCACATAAAAGGAAACCGTTGAAAATTGTTGAAATCGGACTAAAATTGAGGCCGCTTTTCATATAAATTTCAGATATGCTTGAAACTGCAATATTTCGAAGTTTAGGGACGCTAATTTACTTAAAATGTATACACCCCGGCTTATCATGTATTGGTAGCTTTCGGAAAGGTGGAAAACATATATTTAATACTTGCGCCGGGTATTTAATGTTCGGCTCCGCCCGAACTTAGACTTTCTTACTTGTTTCTTTTTACACTTGTCTATATCAATCTCGATTCGTTTTGGCTGTTACAAATAACCATTATGCGAACAAAGTTATCTATTATACCCTTGGGAAAAAGTTAGGTATACAAATTTCATAAGTTCCTACAAATTAAAAGAAATTAAAAAAAAATCTTTTTAAAACACTATAGTCTGAAAATTTAAAGAGAGTTAAATAAAAAAATTAAATAAAAAAAACACATATATATACATATACATACATACAATTTTCTCAAAACTAAATTTGATTTAATTTTTTTTTACAAAAATAATATCTTATCATTAAATTAAAAGAGAAAAATAAGAGAAAAAGACAATATTCTAAAAATCAAAAGAAATAAAGATAAAAATTTTTTAATTAAAATAAAATTTATTAAACGGTTGAAGGGCATCACTTATTTCATTTCCACTCAGTTAATTTCATTGCATTTAGTTTAACTTCACTTCACTTTACTTCATTGGATTCGTTTTTAATTTCACTTCACTCCATTTTAATTAATTTTATGTAATCCTCTCACTTATTTTCATTTCTTATCATTTGCTTTCTTTTCATTTAACTTTGTTTCATTTCCCGTTTCTTCATTTCACTATACTTGATTCACTTCATTTATTCTCATTTCATTACATATGTCTACAATATTTCTCCTGACTACATTTCGTTTCGTTTCATTTCATTTCATTCAATCTTACCTAAATTTCATTTAATTCCATTTAATCTTGTGTTTAAAGTTATGATATTTAAATTAATTTCAATTATGTAATTTCATTTCATATCTCTTCATTTCATTTCATTCCATTTCCTCAAATATTGTTTCATATTATTTATGCAATTTCATCTCACTTCATTTCACTTTTTATACCTTTCATGAGCATGAAATGGTATTATAACTTTGGTTCGATGTTTGTAAGTACCAGAATAAGAAGAGATAGACCCATTAAAATGTATACTTAAATGATCAGAACGTCGAGCTGAGTTGATTTATCCATGTCCGTCTGTCCGTCTGTCCGTCTGCTTGTATGCAATCTAGTCTCTCAGTTTTCGAGATATCCGGATCAAATTTGGTAGGTGGGTGTATTTTTATAATGCATTAATCATTTGTCGGAACCGGAAGAATCGGACCACTATGACATATAGCTCCCATACAACTGATTGTTCAGATATGAGATTTTTCGTTATAACTTCTCCATTTATGCAGCTACGAACATGAAATTTTGCAGCACTTGCACCCATTATCAACAGAATACTTACAGTGAATAAATAATATAAAAAAAACTTTTTAATATACAACGCTTTTATAAATGGACTAAAAAGTAGAAAATAATATTTCTCAGTCCCATAGAATTTGTTTTGATAACTTTTGATTTTGAAATTTTGACAAAAGCCATTATAAACAATCTATGAAATTGAAAATGAAAAACGCGGAGCGCATGCAATACAAAGCATTCGATTTAATTGACAATAGTCAAACTACATAACGTAGACCTAAAATTTCTACAGCGAAAGAAGAACTTTGAAATCGATTTTAAGCGGTCGTTATTCATATACCCACATACATACATACATATATTACTTTTCATATCAATTAAAATGTATTACATGCACCCCACGCTTTTCATTTTCAATTTCATAGATTCTTTATAATGACTTTTGCTAAAATTTCAAAATCAAAAGTTATCAAAACAAATTCTATGGGACTGAGAAATATTATTTTCTACTTTTTAGTCCATTTATAAAAGCGTTGTATATTAAAAAGTTTTTTTTATATTATTTATTTTCTACTTTTTAGTCCTGTCTGAATAAAATTTTGCAATAGATATTAAAATAATTCAACGATATTAATAGAAAGGTGCACACACATGCATTTACATATGTATGTACATACAAACGAGCACCAATTAATTTTAGTTAAAGAAATGGCGTGTCGTCTATTTCCGCTGTAGCAAACGTAGTACATAGGGCGACATCTAGATGTTATCTACCTCGCCCAATTCACTACAGATGTCGCCCTATGCACTATGCTTTTTTATAGGAGCTTTTCAAAGCAAAGGTTTTATGGTGTCGGACACACAGCATTGAAAGTTTCTGGATCCACAACATTGAAAGTTTCTGGACACACAACATTGCAAGTTGATAAAAGCGTTTTAAAATTACAAAGTTCGGGTCACTATAACCTATAGCTCCCATACAACTGATTGTTCAGATAAAAAATTTTTCGTTATAACTCCTCCATTTATATAGCTGGGAACATGAAATTCCGCACTGTTTTCAACAATTATCAAGAGAAAACTTATAGTGAAAATTAAAAAGATCGGATAACTATAACCTATAGCTCCCATACAACTGGTTGTTCAGATATGAGATTTTACGTTATAATTCATCCATTTATGTAGCTAGGACCATGAAATTTCGCGCTGTTTTCACTCATTATCAACAGAAGACTTACAGTGAAAATAACAAAGAGCGGGTCACTATAACCTGCAGCCCCCATACAACTGATTGTTCAGATATTAGGTCTTTTATCATATCTCCTCCATTTATGCAGCTAGGAACATGAAATGTCGCACCATTTTCACTCATTATTAACAGAATACTTACAGTGAAAATAACAAGGATCGGATGACTACGGCATATATCTTCCATACATCTGATTGTTCAGATATGGGATTTTACTGTAAAACTCCTTTATTTGAACAGCTAAAACCGATAAATTTCGTAAGATATTTTATAAATAATAATACAAGGTCTACTGAGAAAATCGTCAAAATCTATGCTGTATAAGCTTTATCTCCTATAGCACTGCTTGTTCAGATACCAGTTTTTGCGATATATCTCCTTTATGTAGGAAACTAAACCCAATAAATTGTGTTACCGGTTTACATACCGATCACATAGCAGTAAAAATCACTTATATTGGTGCCATATAAAGTATATCTCCCATACCTCTGATTGTTTAGATGCGATTTTTTATATAAGTACGTAACTCCTCTATCGATGTATGCAGATGTATTCAAAATTAGTAATCTGTCAAACTAAAATTTGCAGATGTTCATGAAAGGTATGAAGCCTTCGGCATAGCCGAAGACAGCGCTGCTCTTACTTGTTTTCATTTAATGTACTTTCAGTTCATTTCATTTTCTCTCAGTTTGTTTAATTCAGTTATTTTACATTTTAGACCATTTCGTTCCATTTTATTTCTGCAAATTCCATTTCCTCTCACTTCGTTTTAATTTCGTTTCATCTTGTTTCAAATAATTTTATGTAATTTCACTTCATATTTTTTTTTTCATTTGAATTCATTTCATTTTCTTTCACTTTATTTCCTTTTTATTTCTTCTCACTCACTT